GTGGGTGTCTATGTGGGTCTCTATGGGTGTCTCTGTGGGTGTCTCTCTGTGGGTCTGTGGGTGTCCCTGTGGGTGGCTCTGTGGGTCTCTATGGGTGTCTCTGTGGGTGTCTCTGTGGGTGTCTCTGTGGGTGTCTGTGTGGGTGTCTGTGTGGGTGTGTGTGTGGGAGTCTCTGTGTGGGTGTCTGTGTGGGTGTGTGTGTGGGTGTCTGTGTGGGTGTCTCTGTGGGTGTCTCTGTGGGTGTCTCTGTGGGTGTCTGTGTGGGTGTCTCTGTGGGTGTTTCTGTGTGGGTGTCTATGTGGGTGTCTGTGTGGGTGGCTGTGTATTGGTGTCTCTGTGTGGGTGTCTCTGTGTGGGTGTCTCTGTGGGTGTCTCTGTGGGTGTCTCTGTGTGGGTGTCTCTGTGTGGGTGTCTCTGTGGGTGTCTCTGTGGGTGTCTGTGTGGGTGTCTCTGTGTGGGTGTCTCTGTGGGTGTCTCTGTGGGTGTCTCTGTGGGTGTCTCTGTGGGTGTCTCTGTGGGTGTCTCTGTGGGTGTCTCTGTGGGTCTCTCTGTGGGTCTGTGGGTGTCTCTGTGGGTCTCTCTGTGGGTCTCTCTGTGGGTCTGTGTGGGTGTCTGTGTGTGGGTGTCTGTGTGGGTGTCTCTGTGGGTATCTCTCTGTGGGTCTATGGGTGTCTCTGTGGGTGTCTCTGTGGGTGTCTGTGTGGGTCTCTGTGTGGGTCTATGGGTCTCTCTGTGGGTGTGTGGGTGTCTCTGTGGGTGTCTCTGTGGGTGTTTCTGTGGGTGTCTCTGTGGGTGTCTGTGTGGGTGTCTCTGTGGGTGTCTCTGTGGGTCTCTGTGGATGTCTCTGTGGGTCTCTGTGTGGGTGTCTCTGTGGGTGTCTCTGTGGGTGTCTGTGTGGGTGTCTCTGTGTGGGTGTCTCTCTGTGGGTGTCTATGTGGGTGTCTGTGTGGGTCTATGGGTGTCTCTGTGGGTCTATGGGTGTCTCTGTGGGTGTCTCTGTGGGTGTCTCTGTGGGTGTCTGTCTGGGTGTCTGTGGGTGTCTCTCTGTGGGTCTCTGTGGGTGTCTGTGTGGGTGTCTATGTGGGTGTCTGTGTGGGTCTATGGGTCTCTCTGTGGGTCTGTGGGTGTCTCTGTGGGTGTCTCTGTGGGTGTCTCTGTGTGGGTGTCTCTGTGTGGGTGTCTGTGTGGGTCTATGGGTCTCTCTGTGGGTTTGTGGGTGTCTCTGTGGGTGTCTGTGTGGGTGTCTGTGTGTGGGTCTCTCTGTGTCTCTATGTGTGTCTCTGTGGGTGTCTCTGTGGGTGTCTCTGTGGGTCTCTCTGTGGGTGTCTCTGTGGGTGTCTGTGTGGGTCTATGGGTGTCTCTGTGGGTGTCTGTGTGGGTGTCTCTGTGGGTGTCTCTGTGGGTGTCTCTGTGGGTGTCTCTGTGGGTCTCTCTGTGGGTGTCTCTGTGGGTGTCTCTGTGTGGGTCTATGGGTGTCTCTGTGGGTGTCTGTGTGGGTGTCTGTGTGGGTGTCTCTGTGTGGGTGTCTCTGTGGGTGTCTATGTGGGTGTCTGTGTGGGTGTCTGTGTGTGGGTCTCTCTGTGGGTCTATGGGTGTCTCTGTGGGTGTCTCTGTGGGTGTCTCTGTGGGTGTCTCTGTGTGGGTGTCTCTCTGTGGGTGTCTCTGTGTGGGTGTCTCTGTGGGTGTCTCTGTGTGGGTGTCTCTGTGGGTGTTTCTGTGTGGGTGTCTCTGTGGGTGTCTGTGTGGGTGTCTGTGTGGGTGTCTGTGTGTTGGTGTCTCTGTGGGTGTCTGTGTGCGTGTCTCTGTGGGTGTCTCTGTGGGGGTCTCTGTGGGTCTCTCTGTGGGTGTCTCTGTGGGTCTCTCTGTGGGTGTCTCTGTGGGTCTCTCTGTGGGTGTCTCTGTGGGTCTCTCTGTGGGTGTCTCTGTGGGTCTCTCTGTGTGGGTGTCTCTGTGGGTGTCTGTGTGTGGGTGCCTGTGTGGGTGTCTCTGTGGGTGTCCCTGTGGGTGTCTCTGTGGGTGTCTCTGTGGGTGTCTCTCTGTGGGTGTCTCTGTGTGGGTGTCTCTGTGTGGGTGTCTCTGTGTGGGTGTCTCTGTGTGGGTGTCTCTGTGGGTGTCCCTGTGGGTGTCTCTGTGGGTGTCTCTGTGGGTCTCTCCGTGGGTCTATGGGTGTCTCTGGGGGTGTCTCTGTGGGTGTCTCTGTGGGTGTCTCTGTGGGTGTCCCTGTGGGTGTCTCTGTGGGTGTCTGTGTGGGTGTCTCTCTGTGGGTGTCCCTGTGGGTGTCTCTCTGTGGGTGTCTCTGTGGGTGTCTCTGTGGGTATCTCTGTGGGTGTCTCTGTGGGTGTCTGTGTGGGTGTCCCTGTGAGTCTCTGTGGGTCGATGGGTGTCTCTATGGGTGTCCCTGTGGGTGTCTCTGTGGGTGTCTCTGTGGGTCTCTGTGGGTGTCTGTGGGTGTCTCGGTGGGTATCTCTATGGGTCTCTATGGATGTCTCTGGGTCTATGTGCATCTCTGTAGGTGTCTCTGTGGGTCTCTATGGGTCTCTGTGGGTCTCTATGGGTCTATACGTGTCTCTGTGGGTCTCTATGGGTCTCTGTAGGTATCTCTATGGGTATCTCTATGGGTCTCTGTGGGTCTATGGGTGTCTTTATGTGTCTCTATGGATCTATGGGTGTCTCTGTGGGTCTCTATGGGTCTATGGGTGTCTCTGTGGGGCTCTATGGGTCTTTACATGTCTCTATGGGTCTCTATGGGTCTCTGTGGGTATCTCTATGGGTGTCTTTGTGGGTCTCTAGGTCTATGGGTCTCTCTATGGGTCTCTATGGGTCTATGGGTATCTCTATGGGTATCTCTATGGGTGTCTCTATGGGTGTCTCTGTGGGTCTCTATGGGTCTATGGGTGTCTTTGTGGGTCTCTATGGGTCTCTGTGGGTATCTCTATGGGTGTCTTTATGGGTCTCTAGGTCTATGGGTGTCTCTGTGGGTCTCTATGGGTCTATACGTGTCTCTGTGGGTCTCTATGGTTCTATACATGTCTCTGTGGGTCTCTATGGGTCTCTGTGGGACTGAGTATATGTGTCTCTGAGTGTCTCTATGGTTCTATGGGTCTCTATGGGTCTTTATAGGTATTTCTATGGGTCTCTATGGGTGTATGGGTGTCTCTATGGATCTGTGTATCTCTGTAGGTGTCTCTAGGTGTTTATTTCGGTCTCTATGGGTCTATAGAGGGCCGCAATGGATCTGGGTGTCTGTGGGTCTCTGTGTATCTCTGTGGGTCTCTGTGTATCTCTGTGAGTGTATATAGGTGTATCTGTGGGTGTCTATGGGTGTCTGTGTATCTCTATGGGTCTCTGTGTATCTCTGTGGGTCTCTGTGTATCTCTGTGGGCGTCTGTGTATCTCTGTGAGTCTGTGGGTCTCTGTTTATCTCTGTGGGCCTCTGTGTATCTCTGTGGGTGTCTATAGGTGTCTCTGTGTTTCTCTGTGGGTCTCTGTGTATCTCTGTGTATCTCTCTGTGTATCTCTGTGGGCCTCTGTGTATCTCTGTGGGTATCAATAGGTGTCTTTGTGTATCTCTGTGGGTCTCTGTTTATCTCTGTGGGCCTCTGTGTATCTCTGTGGGTGTCTATAGGTGTCTATGTATCTCTATGGGTCTCTGTGTATCTCTGTGCATCTCTGTGGGTCTCTGTGTATCTCTGTGAGTCTCTGTGGGTCTCTGTGTATCTCTGTGCGTCTCTGTGTATCTCTGTGGGTCTCTGTGTATCTCTGTGGGTGTCAATAGGTGTCTCTGTGCATCTCTGTGGGTCTCTGTGTATCTGTGTATCTCTGTGGGTCTCTGTGTATCTCTGTGGGTCTCTGTGTATCTCTGTGGGTGTCAATAGGTGTCTCTGTGTATCTCTGTGGGTCTCTGTGTATCTCTGTGGGTGTCAATAGGTGTCTCTGTGTATCTCTGTGGGTCTCTGTTTATCTCTGTGGGCCTCTGTGTATCTCTGTGGGTGTCTATAGGTGTCTATGTATCTCTATGGGTCTCTGTGTATCTCTGTGAGTCTCTATGTATCTCTGTGGGTCTCTGTGTATCTCTGTGGGTCTCTGTGTATCTCTGTGGGTCTCTGTGTATCTCTGTGGGTCTCTATGTATCTCTGTGGGTCTTTATGTATCTCTGTGGGTCTTTATGTATCTCTGTGGGTCTCTGTGTATCTCTGTGTGTCTTTATGTATCTCTGTGGGTCTCTATGTATCTCTGTGGGTCTTTATGTATCTCTGTGGGTCTTTATGTATCTCTGTGGGTCTCTGTGTATCTCTGTGGGTCTCTATGTATCTCTGTGGGTCTTTATGTATCTCTGTGGGTCTTTATGTATCTCTGTGGGTCTCTGTGTATCTCTGTGGGTCTCTGTGTATCTCTGTGGGTCTTTATGTATCTCTGTGGGTCTCTATGTATCTCTGTGGGTCTTTATGTATCTCTGTGGGTCTTTATGTATCTCTGTGGGTCTCTGTGTATCTCTGTGGGTCTCTGTGTATCTCTGTGGGTCTCTGTGTATCTCTCCGTGTATCTCTGCGTATCTCTGTGAGTCTGTGTGGGTGACTATAGGTGTCTCTGTGTATCTCTCTGTGTATCTCTGCGTATCTCTGTGGGCCTCTGTGTATCTCTGTGGGTGTCTATAGGTGTATCTGTGTATCTCTGTGAGTCTCTGTCTATCCCTTTGTATCTCTGTCTATCTCTGTGTATCTCTCTGTGTATCTCTGTGTATCTCTGTGAGTCTCTGTGTATCTCTCTGTGCATCTCTGTGGGCCTCTGTGTATCTCTCTGTGTATCTCTGCGTATCTCTGTGCATCTTTGTCTATCTCTGTGTATCCCTGTGGGCCTCTGTGTATCTCTGTGTATCTCTCTGTGTATCTCTGTGTATCTCTGTGTATCTCTGTGTATCTCTGTGAGTCTCTGTGGGTGTCTATAGGTGTCTCTGTGTATCTCTGTGGGTCTCTCTGTATCTCTCTCTGTCTATCTGTCTATCTCTGTGTATCTCTGTGTATCTCTCTGTCTATCTCTGTGTATCTCTCTGTGTATCTCTCTGTCTATCTCTGTGTTTCTCTCTGTATCTCTGTATCTCTCTGTATCTCTGTATCTCTCTGTATCTCTCTGTGTATCTCTCTGTATCTCTCTGTGTATCTCTCTGCACATCTCTCTTTATATCTCTCTGCATCTCTCTCTGTGCGTCTCTCTGTGTATATCTCTCTCTATCTCTCTCTGTGCGTCTCTCTGTGTGTATATCTCTCTCTATCTCTCTCTGTGTATCTCTGTGTATCTCTCTCTATCTCTCTCTGTGCGTCTCTCTGTGTATCTCTCTCTATCTCTCTCTATCTCTCTCTGTGTATATCTCTCTGCATCTCTCTCTGTGCGTCTCTCTGTGTATCTCTCTCTATCTCTCTCTATCTCTCTCTGTGTATATCTCTCTGCATCTCTCTCTGTGCGTCTCTCTGTGTATCTCTCTCTATCTCTCTCTATCTCTCTCTGTGTATCTCTCTCTGTGTATCTCTCTGTATATCTCTCTCTATCTCTCTCTGTGTATCTCTCTCTATATCTCTCTATCTCTCTCTATCTCTCTGTGTATCTCTCTCTGTGTATCTCTCTGTATATCTCTCTCTATCTCTCTCTCTGTGTATCTCTCTCTATATCTCTCTCTATCTCTCTCTGTGTATATCTCTCTCTATCTCTCTCTATATCTCTCTGTGTATCTCTCGGTGTATCTCTCTCTATCTCTCTCTGTGTATCTCTCTCTATCTCTCTCTATCTCTCTGTATATCTCTCTGTGTATCTCTCTGCATCTCTCTCTGTGTATCTCTCTGTATCTCTCTGAGTATCTGTCTGTGTATCTCTCTGTCTATCTCTCTGTATCTCTCTGTATCTCTCTGTATCTCTCTGTCTCTCTCTGTGTATCTCTCTCTATCTCTCTCTGTGTATATCTCTCTGTATATCTCTGTGTATCTCTCTGCACATCTCTCTGTATATCTCTCTCTATCTCTCTCTATCTCTCTCTGTGTATATCTCTCTCTATCTCTCTCTGTGTATCTCTGTATCTCTCTCTATATCTCTCTGTGCGTCTCTCTGTGTATCTCTCTCTATCTCTTTCTATATCTCTCTGTGTATCTCTCTCTATCTCTCTCTGTGTATCTCTCTCTATCTCTCTCTATATCTCTCTGTGTATCTCTCTCTATCTCTCTCTGTGTATCTCTCTCTATCTCTCTCTATATCTCTCTGTGTATCTCTCTCTATCTCTCTCTGTGCGTCTCTCCGCGGGCGCTGCGGGGTGCGTCCGCCACGCCCCCCCCCCCCCGCCCCCCGCGTGAGGCACCCCCCCCCCCCACCACCACCACCGACCCTCTCGTTCCACCTCCCCGGGCCCTGTGTCCAGGTGATCGAGTCGGTGGAGAGGGGCTACCGGCTGCCACCCCCCCTCGACTGCCCCCCGGCTTTGCACACCCTGATGCTCGACTGCTGGGAGGCCGAGAGGGCTTCGAGGCCCAGCTTCGGGCAGATCCTGTCTCGCCTGGAGGGGCTGCAGGAGAACCCACGTGCTTTGGGGGGCGCCGCGGGTGGACGGAGAGCCTCGGGGTGAGGAGGCGGTGGTGGGTGTGGTGGGTGGGTGGGTGGTGGTGGTGGTGGGGGAGGAGGAGGTGGTGGGTGGGTGGGTGGTGGTGGTGGTGGTGGAGGAGGAGGAGGAGGAGGAGGTGGAGGAGGAAGTGGTGGATGAGAGGGAGGTGGAGGAGGTGGAGGTTGAGGGGGAAGAGGAGGAGGTGGAGGAGGAGGTGGAGGTGGAGGAGGAGGTGGAGGAGGAGGAGGAGGAGGAGGTGGTGGAGGAAGTGGTGGATGAGAGGGAGGTGGAGGAGGTGGAGGTTGAGGGGGAAGAGGAGGAGGTGGAGGAGGAGGTGGAGGGGGAGGAGGTGGTGGAGGTGGTGAAGGTGGAGGTGGAGGGGGAGGTGGAGGGGGAGGAGGTGGAGGAGGAGGAGGAGGAGGAGGAGGGGGAGGAGAAGGAGGTGGATGAGAGGGAGGTGGAGGAGGTGGAGGAGGAGGTGGAGGAGGTGGAGGAGGAGGTGGAGGGGGAGGAGGTGGAGGGGGAGGAGGTGAAGGGGGAGGAGGTGGAGGGGGAGGAGGTGGAGGGGGAGGAGGTGGTGGAGGTGGTGCAGGAGGTGGTGCAGGAGGAGGTGAAGGAAATGGAGGTGGAAGAGGAGGTGGAGGAGGAGGAGGTAGAGGAGGTGGAGGGGGAGGTGGAGGGGGAGGAGGTGGAGGGGGAGGAGGTGGAGGGGGAGGAGGAGGTGGTGGAAGTGGTGGATGAGAGGGAGGTGGAGGAGGTGGAGGGAGAGGTGGAGGGGGAAGAGGAGGAGGTGGAGGTGGAAGAGGAGCAGGTGGAGGAGGTAAAAGAGGAGGTGGAGGAGGTGGTGGAGTTGGCGGTGGTGCAGGAGCAGGAGCTCTCTAAGTCTTCCCATACTCGGCATTGCCCTTGTCCTGGTCGCCCTGCGGCGTTGTGGAGAATCCCCCTGCCCCCGGTGTAGGCCGCTCAATGCCAAGCGAAGCCATTGTTGCATTATCGCCATCAGAGACGTGCTCGCCAGAGCCACCGTAACGCGGCGCTCCAAATCCTTGCCAGAAGTCTCGACTCAGAAGCTTTCGTTGACTGCAGGAATTCAAATTTTCCGGGGGGGTCTTTCGGTCAAGGGTCGCGTCAGGAGGTTGGAGCCTCTTGCGTATGCGATCAGAAAGGTCTCCATCGCCCGTTGTTGGTTTTTTTCCTTTGAACCCGAAGACCCAAGGGATACGAAATCACCGCGGGAGGTTTACCCCGAACACACTCGGCTCGTTTGAGCGCCTTCTGACGCAACGCCCCGTTTAACCACTGCCGGAACGGGGCACAAACACCCTCTTGGTTCTAGATTTGAAGCTTTCGTGACTGCAAGGATCCACGCTCTTTGGCCGAAACGCCGTGATTTTTGTTATTATTCTACTTTTTACCTACCAACGTGACTTTACCGAATAGAACCATAGAGTACCTGTTTGGTTCTCGCGGTAAAGTCACGTGGAATGGAAAGAATGAAATGATTTTAAAAATAAAACGTAATAGAATAGAATAAAAAATAAAATAGGATGAAATAGGAAAATAAAATAAGATTAAATGTAATAAAATAAAATTAAAATAAACACCCTACTGCGATTAGAATCAACGCAAACTACAATTCGTACTTGAACACCGGCGAAGGGGAAGCATCTCGCGGTGTAACCGCCGTTCACGCAGCCCGCTACAAATGCTCCGTAGAAGGGAAACAATAAAATAATAAAAATATAAATCAATAAAATTATTGTAAAACAATACAATTATTATTCTTGGTTCTTTCGGTAAAGTCACCACCACCGCGTAGATAGGGGAAACAATAAAATAAATAAAAATATCAAACAATAAAATTATTGTAAAACAATAAAATTATTATTCTTGCTTCTTTCGGTAAAGTCACCGCCGCGTTGATAGGGAAACAATAAAATAATAAAAATATAAAACAATAAAATTATTTTGATTGAAAGCTTTCGTTACTGCAGTAATTCATATTCTTAGTTTTTTCGGTAAAGTCACGTTGACTTTACCGAAAAAACTAAGAATATAAATAAAATTATTGTAAAACAATAAAATTATCGTTCTTGGTTGTTCCGGTAAAGTTACCACGTAGAAGGGAAACAATAAAATAATAAAAAAATAAAACAATAAAATTATTGCAAAACAATGAAATTATTATTCTTGGTTCTTCCGGTAAAGTCACCGCCGCGTAGATAGGGAAACAATAAAATAATAAAAATATAAAACAATAAAATTATTGTAAAACAATAAAACTATTGTTCTGGAAGAACCAAGAATAATAATTGTATCGTTTTATATTTTTATTATTTTATTGTTTCCCTATCTACGTGGTGACTTTACCAAAAGAACCAAGAATAATAATTTTATTGTTTTACAATAATTGTATTGTTTTATATTTTTATTATTTTATTGTTTCCCTATCTACGTGGTGGTGACTTTACCGGAAGAACCAAGAATAATAATTTTATTGTTTTACAATAATTTTATTGTTTTGTATTTTCATTATTTTATTGTTTCCCTATCTACGTGGTGGTGACTTTACCAAAAGAACCAAGAATAATAATTTTATTGTTTTACAATAATTTTATTGTTTTATATTTTTAATATTTTATTGTTTCCCTATCTACGCGGTGGTGACTTTACCGGAAGAACCAAGAATAATTTTTTTTATTGTTTTACAATAATTTTATTGTTTTATATTTTTATCATTTTATTGTTTCCCTATCTACGTGGTGGTGACTTTTACCGTAACAACCAACAACATGTGATCATCTTCTTTGGTTCTTTCGGTAAAGTCACCACGTAGAATGAGAATAAAATAATTTAAAAAACACAATAAAATTCTCACGACGTTTCGGCCACAACACAAGTGGCCTTCTTCAGGTGAAAGGGACAGACCTATTGTGGCCGAAACGTCGTGAGAATTTTATTTTTTTAATTATTTTATTCTCATTCCGCGTGGTGGTGACTTTACCGAAAGAACCAAAGAAGAGGAATCCTTGCAGTCACGAAAGCTTCACATCGAAATTTAACCTGTGATCATCGCTATCGGAGATCACCGCAAGGCGGAGCGTGTCCGTGTGCGTGTGCGTGCGCGCGGCTCACCATAAACACGCCACCACCTCTTTTAATATTTTTTTTAAAACCTCGCCTCCACCTCTGTTGATGTCCGTCGAGTCGAGAGCTTCAAAGCTCTTCGGATTCCTCTGCTGATGATGCCTTCCCGTCCTCCCCTCCCCGCGTCCACAGCGGTGTCCGGTCGGCCGTCTACCACAACGTTCCCGAGCTGCTGAGTTTCCCGAGCGTTGCCGAGTGGCTTGACGCCATCGGCATGGCCATGCACCAGGCCAGCTTCCAGGAGGCCGGCTTCACGAGCTTCCCGCTCGTCCACCAGATCACCCAGGAGTGAGTCGCCCGCTCGGCCGCTACAGTCAGTCGCTCGCTCGCTCGGTCGCTCGGCCGGTCGGTCGGTCGGTCGGTCGGCCCGCTAAACCCGCCCGCTCACCCATCCACTCATCCACCCGACCACCCACCCACCCACTCAATCACTCACCCAACCACTCACCCATCCAACCACTCACCCAACCACTCACCCATCCACTCACCCACCCAACCACTCACCCAACCACCCACCCACTCACTCATCCATCTACTCACCCACCCACTCACCCACCCACCCACTCAATCACTCACCCAACCACTCACCCATCCACTCATCCACCCAACCACCCACCCACTCGCTCATCTATCCACTCACCCACCCACCCATCCACCCAACCACCCACCCACTCACTCATCCATCCACTCACCCACCCACCCACTCAATCACTCACCCAACCACTCACCCACCCACTCATCCACCCAACCACCCACCCATTCACTCATCCATCCACTCACCCACCTACTCACCCACCCACCCACCCACTCACTCATCCATCCACTCACCCAACCACTCACCCACCCACCCACTCAATCACTCATCCACCCAACCACCCACCCACTCACCCACCCACACACCCACTTACCCACTCACTCACCCACCCACCGACTCACCCACCCATCCACCCACCTGTGCTATTTCCCTGTTATTCCCATAGGGACCTGCTGAGGATAGGAGTCCACCTGCCGGGACACCAGAAGAAGATCCTCTACTCCATCGAGGCCATGAAGGCACAAGCATCTCAGCCCACAGTCTCCTAACGCCACCACCACCACAACAACCATCACAACCACCACAACCACCACAACCAACACAGGAAGGATCCCTCCTCCAGCCTTCAGCTCCCACAGTGGCCTCCTCCACAGCTTTAATCATCTGCAGGACCTTCTCAGTGATACGCAGGGCCTTTTCAATGGCCCATAGGACTTTCTAAATGGTCTGTGGTAGGACGTTCTGGAGGATCTGCAGGACATTCTCAGTGACCTGTAGGACCTTCTTAGGGATCTGCAGGACCTTCTCAATGACCTGTAGGACCTTCTCAATGACCTGTAGGACCTTCTCTACGACCTGTAAGACCTTCTCAGTGACCTGTAGGACCTTCTTAATGACCTGTAGGACCATCTCAATGACCTGTAGGACCTTCTCAATGACCTGTAGGACCTTCTTAATGACCTGTAGGACCATCTCAATGACCAGTAGGACCTTCTCAATGACCTGTAGGACCTTCTCTACGACCTGTAGTACCTTCTAAGTATCTGTAGGACCTTCTCAGGGATCTGCAGGACCTTCTCAATGATCTGCAGGACATTCTCAATGACCTGTAAGACCTTCTCAATGACCTGTACGACCTTCTCAATGATCTGTAGGACCTTCTCAATGACCTGTAGGACCTTCTCAGTGACCTGTAGGACCTTCTCTACGACCTGTAGGACCTTCTCAATGACCTGTAGGACCTTCTCAATGACCTGTAGGACCTTCTCAATGACCTGTAAGACCTTCTCTACGACCTGTAGGACCTTCTCAATGACCTGTAGGACCTTCTCAATGACCTGTAGGACCTTCTCAATGACCTGTACGACCTTCTCTACGACCTGTAGGACCTTCTCTACGACCTGTAAGACCTTCTCAATGACCTGTAGGACCTTCCCAATGACCTGTAGGACCTTCTCTACGACCTGTAAGACCTTCTCAATGACCTCCAGGACCGTCTCAATGACCTGTAGTACCTTCTCTACGACCTGTAGTACCTTCTCTACGACCTGTAGGACCTTCTCAATAACCTCTGGGACTCTCTCCAGACACTCACACGCAATAGCCTCTGAAACCCATGAGACCTCAGCAACCTACAGATCTTCAAGATCTTCTCAGTATTATCCGGGACCTTCTCATAAATCTCAAGGACCTTCTCAAGGACGTCCAGATCCTGTAAGGAACCCTTTAAAAAAATCCTCCGGGACCTTCTCAACAACCTCCAGATCCTGTAGCGGTCTTCTCAAGAACCTATTAGAACCTTCTCAACAACTGCCATATTATGTAGGAACCTTCTGAAAAATCTCCAGGACCTTCTCAACAACTGTCAGATTATGTAGGAACCTTCTCAACAATCTCCAGGACCTTCTCAACAACCGCCAGAACCTGGAGAACCATCTCTCACCAATCTCCTAGGACCAACTCAACAACTGTCAGATTATGTAGGAACCTTCTGAAAAATCTCCAGGACCTTCTCAACAACTGTCAGATTCTTTAGGAACCTTCTCAACAACCATCTCCAGAGCCTGGATAACCATCTCTCAGCAAATTTCCTAGGACCAACTAAACAACTGCTGGATTATTTTAGGAACCTTCTGAAAAATCTCCAGGACCTTCTCAACAACCTCCAGAACCTGGAGAACCATCTCTCACCAATCTCCTAGGACCAACTCAACAACTGTCAGATTATGTAGGAACCTTCTGAAAAATCTCCAGGACCTTCTCAACAACTGTCAGATTACGTAGGAACCTTCTCAACAACCATCTCCAGAGCCTCGATAACCATCTCTCAGCAAATCTCCTAGGGCCAATTCAACGACTGCCGGATTCTTTTAGGAACCTTCTCAACCATCTCCAGGACCTTCTCAACAATCCCCAACGTGGGATTTCTGAAGGATCCCCTCGGAAATCCTCCAGGACCGTGTCAAGAAGCGCCAGCACACAACCGGCTAGCGATAGCTCCACGCCCGTAACGAATCGGCAGTGGCGGGGGTTTTTTTTTGTTAAACATTTTTTTTACTTTACCCAGAAACCTCCTCAATTATTGGGTCGTGTTGTCGGGGTGGTGGTGGTGGCGACGCCGCGTTCGGAATCGACGTGACCTTAACCCAAACCATGATGGAGGTTTTTTTGTTGTTGTTGTTGTTGTTGTCGGGGTTCGATCACGTGGATATGTAAATGTTGTGTCGTTTAAGCTCCCCGCCACCACCCGACGCAGCCAATGTTAGTAAGGTTTGTCGCGAAAACGGAACGCGCCGATTTCGTTACTCGTACAGCACTAGTGTATGGTAGTGTAGTGTATAGTGTAGTATACTAGTACACTAGTGTATAGTGTAGTAAACTAGTACACTAGTGTATAGTAGTGTAGTGTATAGTGTAGTATACTAGTACACTAGTGTATAGTAGTGTAGTGTATAGTGTAGTATACTAGTACACTAGTGTATAGTAGTGTAGTGTATAGTGTAGTATACCAGTACACTAGTGTATAGTAGTGTAGTGTATAGTGTAGTATACTAGTACACTAGTGTATAGTAGTGTAGTGTATAGTGTAGTATACTAGTACACTAGTGTATAGTGTAGTATACTAGTACACTAGTGTATAGTGTAGTATACTAGTACACCAGTGTATAGTGTAGTGTACTAGTACACTAGTGTATAGTGTAGTATACTAGTACACTAGTGTATAGTGTAGTATACTAGTACACTAGTGTATAGTGTAGTATACTAGTACACTAGTGTATAGTGTAGTATACTAGTACACTAGTGTATAGTGTAGTATACTAGTACACTAGTGTATAGTGTAGTGTACTAGTACACTAGTGTATAGTGTAGTATACTAGTACACTAGTGTATAGTGTAGTATACTAGTACACTAGTGTATAGTGTAGTATACTAGTACACTAGTGTATAGTGTAGTATACTAGTACACTAGTGTATAGTGTAGTATACTAGTACACTAGTGTATAGTGTAGTATACTAGTACACTAGTGTATCGTCTAGTGTACTAGTACACTAGTGTACAGTGTAGTATACTAGTACACTAGTGTACAGTGTAGTATACTAGTACACTAGTGTATAGTGTAGTATACTAGTACACTAGTGTATAGTGTAGTATACTAGTACACTAGTGTATAGTGTAGTATACTAGTACACTAGTGTATAGTGTAGTATACTTGTACACTAGTGTATAGTGTAGTATACTAGTACACTAGTGTATAGTGTAGTGTATAGTGTAGTTTATAGTGTAGTGTATAGTAGTGTAGTAATACTAATTGGCTGTGTCAGGTACTGGCTGCTTTAACCACGCGTGATCTAAAACCTCTCCCCCCCCAGTCCGAAACAAACTCTCACGGATTAAATTGCTCCGCTTAAATCCCACGCGGTAACCCAAACTAACTAACCTCTGCCCTGGATAACATTGGCCTCGATACGCCTCTCCAACTACCATCACCACCACCACTAACACCACTACTCCTGGATACTACTACCACTACTTTCCTCTTACCCGGCCGGTTTGCAAGGACCAGCGTTCCGCTTGTTGGCGATCCTCTCTCTCGCGTGCGATGGGGTCCCCCCCCATTAAGGTTTGGACTTTTATACTGGTAAGAACGAGGTTGTAAAGTGAGTGTACCAGCCTGCAATAGATTAATGTGTCCGTCCGTCCGTCCCCTTTCAAAAGCCCCATACTAGCGTATACCGGGAAACAATTCCTCATGTTAAAATGCAATTGGCGTAATTTTTCGGCGCAGCCCTTAACGATTTTACGATACATTGCTCCAAAATGAGCAGGATTTTCCAAAATGAGCAGATTTTCCAAAATGAGCAGGATTTTCCAAAATGAGCAGATTTTCCAAAATGAGCAGATTTTCCAAAATGAGCAGATTTTCCAAAAATGAGCAGATTTTCCAAAATGAGCAGATTTTCCAAAATGAGCAGATTTTCCAAAAATGAGCAGATTTTCCAAAATGAGCAGATTTTTCCAAAATGAGCAGATTTTCCAAAAATGAGCAGATTTTCCAAAATGAGCAGATTTTCCAAAATGAGCAGATTTTCCAAATTGAGCAGATTTTCCAAAATGAGCAGATCTTCCAAAATGAGCAGATTTTCCAAAAATGAGCAGGATTTTCCAAAATGAGCAGATTTTCCAAAATGAGCAGGATTTTCCAAAATGAGCAGGATTTTCCAAAATGAGCAGATTTTCAAAAATGAGTCGATTTTCCAAAAAATGAGCAGATTTTCCAAAATGAGCAGGATTTTCCAAAATGAGCAGATTTTCCAAAATGAGCAGATTTTCCAAAATGAGCAGATTTTCCAAAAAATGAGCAGATTTTCCAATATGAGCAGATTTTCCAAAATGAGCAGATCTTCCAAAATGAGCAGATCTTCCAAAATGAGCAGATTTTTCCAAAATGAGCAGGATTTTCCAAAATTCAATAAGGATTTCACCGTTCCGTTCCTCTACGGAGGTGAATTTGTCCGAAGAACCCTCAACAAATTTTGAGGGCAAAAAGGTGGCAGGGCGCTCTCCATTTGCACAATTTTTACGTGACAATGTCTTAAAATAGCCCAAGATTCCAATGTTCCTACCAGCCCACCCCCGCAAGGACCTGTGTGTGTTTTTTTGTTTGTTTGTTTTTATGTCCGCGATGAGGTTGGACGCCATTGAGGGGCTTAGCACTTTCGCCGCTGGCCTGTGGCTTAGTTAAAATCCGCGCCGCCAACCACGACCGCCGCCGCCGCGACCGCCTGAGTAACGTCCGCCACAGGTCACCCCTCCCACCCACCCCACCCCTACGGCACCTGTGCCAGGCTAGGTGCACCTCGAGGCCGCAGCGAGAAGTGTCGGAAGGCTTCTCGCTGCCGACAGGAGGTCACGTGGTATAGACCCAGCAGGTGCCGCGGGTTGTTGTGCTGCTGCTGCTGTGCCAGGCTAGGTGCAGGAGGAGGAGGAGGAGGTCACGTGGACAGACCCAGCAGGTGCCGCGGGTTGTTGTACTGCTGCTGTGCCAGGCTAGGTGCAGGAGGAGGTCACGTGACAGACCCAGCAGGTGCCATGGGTTGTTGCGCTGCTGCTGTGCCAGGCTAGGTGCAGGAGGAGGTCACGGGGACAGACCCAGCAGGTGCCATGGGTTGTGCTGCTGTGCCAGGCTAGGTGCAGGAGGAGGTCACGTGACAGACCCAGCAGGTGCCATGGGTTGACTGCTGTGCCAGGCTAGGTGCAGGTGGAGGTCACGTGACAGACCCAGCAAGTGCCATAGGTTGACTGCTGTGCCAGGCTAGGTGCAGGAGGAGGTCACGTGACAGACCCGGTAGATGCACCATCAGCTGTACCCCCGAAATTTCCACACACACACGTATTGTGTCTGTGAGCGTGTGTGTGGTATCTTGTGGGGAGCGGTGGTGCAGTGGTTAGCGCACTGTGTGTATTGTGGGGAGCGGTGGTGCAGTGGTTAGCGCACTGTGTGTGTATTGTGGGGAGCGGTGGTGCAGTGGTTAGCTCACTGTGTGTGTGAGTGGGGAGCGGTGGTGCAGTGGTTAGCGCACTGTGTGTGTATTGTGGGGAGCGGTGGTGCAGTGGTTAGCGCACTGTGTGTGTGAGTGGGGAGCGGTGGTGCAGTGGTTAGCGCACTGTGTGTGTGAGTGGGGAGCGGTGGTGCAGTGGTTAGCGCACTGTGTGTGTGAGTGGGGAGCGGTGGTGCAGTGGTTAGCGCACTGTGTGTGTGAGTGGGGAGCGGTGGTGCAGTGGTTAGCGCACTGTGTGTGTGAGTGGGGAGCGGTGGTGCAGTGGTTAGCGCACTGTGTGTGTGAGTGGGGAGCGGTGGTGCAGTGGTTAGCGCACTGTGTGTGTGAGTGGGGAGCGGTGGTGCAGTGGTTAGCGCACTGTGTGTGTGTATTGTGGGGAGCGGTGGTGCAGTGGTTAGCGCACTGTGTGTGTGAGTGGGGAGCGGTGGTGCAGTGGTTAGCGCACTGTGTGTGAGTGTGGGGAGCGGTGGTGCAGTGGTTAGCGCACTGTATTGTGGGGAGCGGTCGTGCAGTGGTTAGCGCACTGTGTGTTTATTGTGGGGAGCGGTGGTGCAGTGGTTAGCGCACTGTGTGTGTGTATTGTGGGGAGCGGTGGTGCAGTGGTTAGCGCACTGTGTGTGTGTATTGTGGGGAGCAGTGGTGCAGTGGTTAGCGCACTGTGTGTGTATTGTGGAGAGCGGTGGTGCAGTGGTTAGCGCACTGTGTGTGTGTGTATTGTAGGGAGCGGTGGTGCAGTGGTTAGCGCCACGATTCCCCGCTCAAAGCCACCACGACCAGCGATTGCGATTCATCTGAACCGGTTACCCTGGGGGGGGTGGGGGTGGGGGGTCGGAGGCCTCCTCCCCTAGGTCGACTCAGCCTCAAAACGAGCAAAAACCTCGTGCCGCTGGGGGGGGGGGGGTTGGGAAAGACAAAGGCGGCCGGGCGTGGTGGCGCTGACCACTTCAAAGTGCACGTGGGATTCGTAGGCAGTGATGAAGTATTAAAGCTTTCGCGACCGCGTAAAATTTACTCCGTGTTTTTTTTTCGGTAAAGTCGCGCGTGTAGAAATACCGTAGAAATTATATCAAAACAAAACAAAATAAATCACGACGTTTCGATCACAACGCAAAGCGATCTTCATTAGGTGTCAAGAAGAACAAAT